TACATCTACTCAAGGTCATAGATTTGTTTCTCCCTGCGTTTTGCTTATTCACACCCATACCCCCTTTAACTTTCCCTTCAGACTACTGATTTAGTCTATCCTCATGTGCATAGATACTAGGAAATAGACAGGTGCACTAACCCAATGCATTAATACCTTTTTTTTTTTAAAGCGATTTTAAGCCAATATATACTGGCTGTAAAATAGATCTACAGATGTTCACTTATAAACTTACTTTGGAGCACAATGCATTAAATGCACTGAACAATTCCAGCCCCTCATATCTCCTCACAGATCCATAGGTATGCCCCTTCTCTATCTCTACGCTCTGCCCGTGACCTTCTCCTGTCCGTTGTTCGTACCCGTACGGCCAACTCACGTTTGCAGGACTTCTCGCGGGCGGCTCCCTCCCTATGGAATAGCCTGCCTACCACCATCAGACTCTCCCCAAGTCTTCAATCCTTTAAGAAGTGCCTTAAAACCCATCTCTTTAGGAAAGCTTATGGCCTCCAAGACTTACCTCCACCTCACATACCTGTCTCTTGCTCTCTCCTAAAGGGCAGCACTCTACTCTCTCCTCCAGCTCTGCTTCACTCCCACCTTATTTGATTGCTATTTCCTGTCCTAATGTGTTTTATACCCCACCTCCTGTAGACTGTAAGCATGTTTGAGCAGGGTCCTCTTCAACCTTTCGTTCCTGTAAGTTTTCTTGTAATTATCCTATTTATAGTTAAATCCCCCTCTCATAATATTGTAAAGTGCTACGGAATCTGTTGGCCCTATATAAATGGTGATGATAATAATAATAATAATAATAACTGTTAGCATTTATACAGTGTGTGTAATAACAGATAAATGCTCACAACATCATGTTCACAAACAGAAAAGTGATACAAAACATTTTCTTTCCTCTACTTTTATAACTTTACTGGAGTTTCAAAAAATCTTGCATACCTTTACAGGTATGTTTACAATTTTCTGTTAGTAAATATGCTGTGCTAGAATGTGGCTCTCATTGCATATCTTATCATGATAGGTCCTCTGTCCTTCAGGATAGCTTATTGCACATTCCAAGGATTCCTTATCTTACAGATTTGGGCACATTCCCTGCATTCCTGAATTCCTTTTATTAGTGGAACCTGCTCATACAGGGTCTTACTTCCTTTTTTTTTTGTGTAGGGTCTGTTTCATTATTTGTTAATTTATCTGCAATTCTATTGTATGGAGCCGAGGAGCCTGCAGGGCCGGACTGGCCCACCGGGATACCGGGAAATTTCCCGGTGGGCCGTCGGCACCTAGGGCCGGGCAGACATCTGGGTCTGCTGGCGGCCGCTCGGGAGGTCTTCTGGTGGCCGCTGGGGAGCTGCGCTGGCTCTGCTCCCCAGCGCGCAGCTGAATGAGACCGACACCGGAATATGACATCATATTCCGGCGCCGGTCTCATTCATTCAGCAGCGCGCGAGGGCGGGAGAGCAGAGCAAGCGCAGCTCCCACAGCGGCTGCCAATACAAGTCCCCCAGCGGCCACCAGAAGACCTCCCCCAGCGGCCGCCAGAAGACCTCCCCCAGCGGCCTCCAGTACAAGTCCCCCAGCGGCCGCCAGCAGACCTCCCCAGCGGCCTCCAGAAGACCTCCCCCTGGCAGGTATTAGTAATGTGTCAGTGTGAGTTTGTCTGTTATGGTGTGTGTGTCTGTCTGTCTGTGTCATGGTGTCTGTATGGTGTGTGTCTGTCTGTATGGTCTGTCTGTATGGTGTGTGTCTGTCTGTGTCACGGTGTCTGTATGGTGTCTGTCTGTCTGTGTCATGGTGTGTGTGTGTGTGTCTGTCCGTCATGGGGTGTGTGCCTGTCTGTCCGTCATGGTGTGTTTGTCTGTGTCAGGGTGTGTGTGTGGGTCTGTCTGTATCATGGTCTGTCATGGTGTGTGTGTGTGTCTGTCATGGGGTGTGTATCTGTCATGGTATATGTGTGTTTCTGTGTCTGTCATGGTGTATATGTGTGTTTAAAAATAGTGTTTTTGCTCACCATTTTTTCCCCATGCAGCGTGCTGGTCTCCCCTCGACTGGCCCTGCCTCTATAGCGGAGATCATCAAGCTTGATGATCTCAGCCAATCCAATGCTTTGCCATAGGATTGGCTGCAAAACACCACTCCAATCAGCATCTCCTCATAGAGATGCATTGAATCAATGTATCTCTATGGGGAACGTTCAGCACCTACAGAGTGTGGAGGCCCTGAATGTAGGTGCACTAACACAGGAAGCACCTCTAGTGACCGTCTGAGTGACTGTCACTAGCAGTGTCACTTTGAAGCAATGTAAACACTGCTTTTTCTCTGAAAAGTCAGTGTTTACGTTGAAAAGGGACATGCTATAGACACCAGTACCACTACATTAAGCTGTGTGTGTGTGTGTGCGTCTGCTAGTGAGTGAACTTGCTTGCATGCGTGTGCCTGCTAGTGAGTGAGCTTGTGTTTTTATGTCAATGAGCTGATGTATGTAAGTAAGATTGTTTGTCTATGAGGCTGTGTATCAATGAGCTTGTGTGTGTCATTGAGATGTCAGTGAAATTGCCTGTGTCTGCATGTGAGTATGCTTACTGTATAATTAAACGTTTTACCTTGAAAGGACAAATATTTTATACTAGAAAAAGCAAATATATATTACTCAATCATCTGTCATGGCAAGACATAGCCTTACATATTACACGCGACAATATATGGCGCAGTGACTTATGGGGCTGGCACAAATTTTTTTTCCAGGGCTGCTTTGCATCCCCAGTCCGGCCCTGGGAGCCTGATGTTGCTGTATTCACTTTAACTTGTGTATCTCTGTAGAGGCACAAAACCATAGTCTTTCTTTTTCTTTCCTCAATACAACAATTGTGTTTATATACTTAACTACAAATTTGCAGTTGACACTCAAAACACAAGCTGCATTACAAAAATAAATAAATTAGAAAAAATACCTCAAAAAGTGTGTCACAGAGACATTAACTTTAGGATTGTACATAAGTGGAATGCAGTCCTTACCATGTGTTTTTTAGTATCAGTATTAACAAATCTAATGCTATTTAATGTTATGAAAGCTGGATGGGGGAGCAGAGCTAGCACTGGAGCAAACAAGATGTGCCACTAGCGAGCTTAGGTTTATCGTGCTACTGTATATATATCTTGATTTTCTTCCACATATGTACGAGAAAATCAACCATTACGAGGACAACACGCAGAACCTGGCCCATATTATATCCCTAGGTGGGGATCATTCCGCCCAAGCGTTCAAGTTGGAGCTGAATCTAAGCTCTTAAAAACTGTTAGTGCACAATTTTTATCTTGTAATATTTTACGTATTACACTATTAGTTTTTTCTTTGTTATTACATATATTTTCATGGACATCTACACAACTCCCTTTGTTTTTCTCATTTTCTATCGGACAAGAGAGACCCTCGATCTGGTGATTAAGCTCCCTTTAAACTGTATCAGTAATTTACAAGAGCTAAATTTCCCTTTGCTTTTACTCAAATGGAAGAAGGTTGCCTGGTTTGATGAATTACATATTTTTTAGATCAGGTGCATAACTGGGTGCACGTGCACCATTTACCTGGGGAATAGATGACAGCAGGATGAACTATGGGAAGAAGGCTGGCTGGTGGAGACAGTATTATGCCCTGAGCTATGTTCTGCTGGGAAACCTTGGCTCTGGCATTCATGTGGATATTACTTTGACACCTACCACCTACCTAGACATCATTGCAGACCATGTACACCCTTTCATAGCAGTAGTGCTTTGGGATGTCAATGGCCTTTTTCAGCAGGATAATGCACCCTGTCACACTGAAAAAATTGTTCCGAAATGTTTTGCGTAATATGACCAATTTCTCCAGGTCTCAATCTAATTGAGAATCTGTGTGATGTGCTGGAACAAAAAAATCTTATCCATAGAGGCCCCACCTCCCAACTTACAGGACTTAAAGGATCTGCTACTAATGTCTTGGTGCCAGATACCACGGGGCACGTTCAGAGGTCTTGTAGAGACAATGTCTTGGCACATCAGATCTGTTTTCGTAGTACAAAAGGGATCTACACGATATTTGTCAGGTGCTTTTAATGTTGTGGCTGATCAGTGTATTTTAATATAAGTGTATTATATTATTTTTACATGTGTGTATATAATGGTGAATATGAAGTACTAGTTGTATAATATATACACAAATATTAATATATTACACTTGCATTAATATATATGTACACACTACAGCCCTACACTCATCCCTAAACATTCGCTATATTCCCTATACACACTCCCACACAATTGGGACAGGGATAGTACGGACAGCAGCTCTAAGTGTCTGCGAGAATGTGGTGGAATGGGGATGCAGATAAGAACCATTCGGCCCATCTAGTCTGCCCAATTTTCTAAGTACTTTCATTAGTCCCTGGCCTTAGCTTATAGTTAGGATAGCCGTATGCCTATCCCACGCATGCTTAAACTCCTTTACTGTGTTAGCCTCTACCACTTCAGCTGGAAGGCTATTCCATGCATCTACTACCCTCTCATTGATACAAAGCTTTCCCAAGGGTGAAATTTAATGGTGTGTGCCATTAGAGCTCCAAGGCTCCTCTATGACGATTATTGAATTGGTCCATGATGGAGGAGATGAGCAGTAAGTAAAACTTGTTTTTTCAAAATGCTAATGCATGGGCGGCACTTAAACAGGCATAGCGACAGGGAAATACAAGGAAGTGGGTCAAGGGCTGCGCTTGAACAAGAAGATAAAAAGTATATAAAAATATTGGTTAATAAAATATGCAGTAATAATAAAATCAATTAAAGTTCATCCGGATTAATAAAAAGTATAAATAAGAACAGTCTCACTGGTGTGCAGTAATACGATAATAGTCCTCAAGTGTTGCTCCGTCCGTGTGGTAGGTAGTCCATATATGTGAAGATAAAAGAGAAAAGAAAAAGCTGCCAATGGTGAAATATTGTATATTCAGATGTGGTATATATTCAAAGGAAATGTATTTCACTCGCATTTGGTGGAGCTTTAGCCAGCTCTAGGAGAAGAGACACTTAGTGGTTTGATCCCCACTAACGGATGTACTTGGATGGTTGGTCCGTCTATCCGGCTTGGAATTCCTGTAGTGTAGGCTAGGACCTACTCAGATATACGTTTGTTCTTTAATGCTTTAGAGATGGGTCCGCCTCTCCAGTGTTGGATAATAGGTGTCCACGGAATATATATAAAACAGCAAATAGTGCTCTCAGTTTGAACAACAAAGTAATATCTTTAAATAAGTTATACTTACAAGAATAGAGCAGACAAGTACTGCTCTATTGCCACAGCGCTGGTGGAATTATCCCCACCTAAGGATTTCTTTGGACGGATTTCTTTGGACGGAAAATACTCGGAGTAAAAAAAAAAAATGAAAATAAAAAATGGATGGATAAAAAATGTATAATAAAATTATAATAAAATTAATTGTGATGTAAAAATATCTAGTATATAAAAAAAGTGTAAAAAATACAATAAAAATAAGTATACAATTGGTCCTAGTATAAAAGGTAACCAAAAATAACTTTTATTGATAAAAATACACTTATTAAAACCATTTACGCGTTTCACCTTTGGGGTTTTCTCAATTTTTTACCATTTTGAGAAAACCCCGAAGGTGAAACGTGTAAATGGTTTTAATTTGTATTCCTGATGCTATAGTGTTCCTTTAACTGGGTTAAAGAAGGAGAGCAGATATGAAAGAAGACAGAAATTTTTTTATTTTAATTTTTAAATAAAAAAAAAAATAATAATCGCTGAACTAGAAGGAGAGAAGATGGAAAAGAAACAGAGACAGATATAGAGAGTGAGCAGGACCTGCTTGAGAAAGGTAAAGAGGAATTGAAATCGAGAGATTGTAAGGAGGAATGGGACATGGAGCTTGATAGGATATAGGAGTGGAAGAAAGTCACACATTTATAAAAAGAAAACCTAAAAGTTGTGTGGAATGGTGATAATGAGAAGGTGAATGGAAAAGGAGTTTTGCCAGGCAAAATTCAGAGGCTTTTCCTGACTGTTACATTGGGATTTCTGTATCGGAGCTTTATTTATTCAAACGTTACATACCATTTTTTGTCTCCACATCCTAGCTTTAGATAATGAGTGTAATGTATGAAGCCAGTTACCTTTAATTTGTTACAACTCATTGTATGCCAACATTAAAGGGACACCCTGGGAAGCAATACAGCTTTAATCCATTGTAGCCCAATCTGGCTTTTTATTGACTGGAAGAGCAAATACATGTTCATTTGGAAAGAATGAAAAAGAAGACAGGATTGTATGTTAATTCATATCCTAAATATAACTTAACATCTAAATTACTCTACAAGATACTGCAGTCATTTGAACCAAAAGGAAAAATAAGTAAATTTTTGGGATTTACCTAATTGACCCAATTCATTACTGACCGTTAGTGCACTCTGTTAAAAACCTTCTCGTGCTACTTTGCTATACCCTAAAGACCTGCAGAATTGGGTTAGTGTTGCGGCTCCCGGCCCGCCGCATGGCGCAGCCGTGCCCGACCGGCACGACCTCGCCGATATTGCAAGCTTACCTGCCTGACGGTGAGCCTGCAACCGCTCCTCCGCCTTCTGGGCATTGCGCCCAAATCAAAGATGGAGCTGACCACGTGGTTGCGCGCATCACAAGCTCCACCCCTAAAATTTATACGGACGTGCGCGTGGCTTCCTGTTCCTGGTTCCCAAGAGTGCGTTTATCTTTGTGTATCTGACTTCCTGGTATCCTGATCTTGGCTTTTCCCTGGTTATTCCAAATTCTGGTTCCCCTGACTTGGCTTGTTTATACGGTATCTGAGTATTTCTGGCTTCCTTGACCTTGGCTTTCCCTTTGACCATTCTTTATCTGTAGCGTATTAGTCCGGCCATTCTAAGGTCCGGTTTACGCTCTGTCCTTTTATTTCCTTTCCTTTTGTATGTATATGTTTACATAGTTTCTGCGTGTTGGACCACACTAGCAACCGTGACATTACGACAGGGCCATGGATCCTGCGGAACTATGCAAACATATGATTGCCTGTGAGAGTAGGGTGGAGGATATGGACCCCAGGTTAGATCAGTTTGCCCAAGCATTCCAGACCTTGCTCCAAAGAACTGCCTATCTAGAGGCACCTCCGGTACTACCTGTGGCTCCGCCGCCTGTAGTAACATCTGTGGCACACAAACCACTGTCCATAACCCTTTCACCTCCCCCTTGTTTTGGAGGTGATTCTAAGGAATTTAGAGGTTTTTTAAACCAAATTGAATATCACTTCGAAGCTTCCCCTGGTTCATTCCCTACAGATAGATCGAAAATTGGCTATCTAATGAACCAATTAACGGGTAAGGCTTTAACCTGGGCCAATCCCTTATGGGAGAGTGAAAGTCCAGTTGCCCGTGATTACAATGTATTCCTATCAGCATTTAAAGCTACTTTTGAACTAAAAAGGAGAAAAGAACCCTGCCAGAGCTCTAATGAAAATAAAACAAGGCAACCGCTCTGTAGATCAATACGCCATAGAGTTCAGGACATTGGCGTCTGAGGTTGACTGGACCAAAAGCGGTTTAGTGGCTGCCTTTGCCAAAGGTATAGCAGAAAATATACAAGACGAGACCGCAGCCAGAGATCTTACCGTTAACCTTAATGACTTTATTGCATACATGATAGATATTGATAACAGGCTCAGAGAGAGAGAGAGAGAAACAAACAGCGTACTAGACGTTCTAACTTATTCATAGCCCCTCGTTTCTCCATGCTCCACCTCCAGAACCTGAACCCATGCAACTGGGCATTGCTAAACTCACTGAAGCAGAGAGACAACACAGACGCAACAAGGAGTTGTGTTTATATTGTGGCAAAAGGGGACATCAGAGGTTTTCATGTCCGGTTCAGCCGGAAAACTTGCACACCTAAGGCACATTCGGGGACCAACCTTAGGTGTGATGTATATGTCCCCTAAATTGACTAAGAACCGTTTCCTTATAAAAATTACTTTGTCTTGTAAGAAAACCACTATACAGATTGACTCTGGGGCAGCGGAGAATTTTCTAGACAAGGAATTCTCTGCCAAGCATCTCTTGCCCTTAAGGCAGAAAGATAGACCCATAGCAGTAGAGGCTATCGATGGGAGACCTCTTACCCAGCCTCTCATCACGCACGAAACCCTGCCGATCACTGTCTCAGTTGGTATTTTACATTCGGAAGAAATGGTTTTCCAAATTATATCTTCTCCTACATGTCCGATAATACTGGGTTTCCCTTGGCTCCAAAAACACAATCCACATTTAGATTGGGTTGAAGGAGGAATAGTGAGTTGGGGTGAGAGATGCAGAGGTCTTTGTTTAAAAAGGGTGCCACAACGAACCTATAGCGCCTCCCTTAACCACAGAAGTCCCACAACAGTATTTGGACTTAAAAGAGGTATTCAACAAGGTTCAGTCGGAGGTATTACCACCACATAGACCCTACTACTGTGCCATACAATTGTTACCAGAAACTATGCCCCCTAGAGGGGGAGTATATGCACTATCTCCCCAAGAATATCTTTGTCTAGAAGAGTACATAAAGGATGCTCTCAGAAAGGGTCACATACGTAGATCCTCTTCACCTGCTGGGGCTGGGTTCTTCTTCGTATCTAAAAAAGGAGACCTACGCCCTTGTATAGACTATAGGGGTTTGAATAAAATAATAAAAAACGCCTATCCTATTCCCCTTATTTCTAAATTATTCGATAGGTTAAAAGGGGCCCGAGTCTTCACTAAGTTCGACCTCAGAAGTGCTTACAACCTAGTTAAAATTAAGAAAGGACATGAGTGGATGACCGCGTTTAATACGAGAATGGGACATTACGAATACCTAGTAATGCCGTTTGGACTGTGCAATGCCCCAGCGGTGTTTCAGGATTTCATTAACGATGTCCTTAGAGAATATCTCCACATGTTCGTTTTAGTGTATCTAGATGACATTCTCATCTATTCCACAGACTTAGAAACACATCACGAACATGTGAGAACAGTACTAAAAACCCTATTAAACAACGGCCTCTACTGTAAGCTGGAGAAATGCCAGTTTGACCAGATTGATATACAGTTTCTAGGGTATGTTATATCTCCGTCTGGCTTCAAAATGGACCCACGCAAATTGGAAGCAGTCTTACAATGGCCATTACCCAAAGGCCTTAAAGCTACACAACGCTTTATAGGTTTTGCGAATTATTACCGCAAGTTCATTAAAGGTTATTCCTCTGTAATCTCTCCTATTACCAACCTAACCAAAAAAGGAGCAAATTGCAATTCATGGCCCAAGGAAGCAAAGGAGGCATTTGAGCAAATGAAATCTTTATTTGCCTCAGCACCTGTCCTGACACATCCCGATCCAACCAAACCATTTATTCTAGAAGTAGATGCGTCAGAAACAGGAGTAGGAGCCATTCTGTCTCAAAGAGAAAGTCCTGATGTGCCTTTACATCCCTGTGGGTTTTTCTCTTGAAAACTAACCTCTGCAGAGAAAAATTATGACATGGGGAATAGGGAGTTATTGGCCATTGTAGTTGCCCTTAAAGAAAGGAGGCATCTCTTAGAAGGTTCCAAAGAGCCACTTCTGATTTTTACCGATCATAAGAATTTGGCTTATATTGGGGATGCTAAGAGATTGTCCTCTCGTCAGGCTAGATGGTCATTGTTCCTCTCCCGATTCAATTTTGTAATTACATACAGGCCCGGGACCAAGAACACCAAGGCAGATGCGCTGTCTAGGCAGTTTGAGAAAGACTAGGTTCCTAAACAAGAGGTATTCCCTATCATACCTCCAGAATGCCTTATTGCCACTACTATTTCCGAAGTGTCTTCTCCACTCTTCTGTGCCATAATAGCAGATCAAACTCAGGCACCCGTGGAGAGACCTCCAGATAAACCATACGTTTCACCAACATTAAGGAAAAAGGTATGTAGCGGATGGCACTGGGCTGTCCTGCAAATGTCTGTGAAATAATTGCATTCGTGTGATCTGTTAGTTTCCTATGTGTTTTAAAGCCTGGTATTCTTGTGATTGTTCGGTAGTTTCGTTCCCTTAGTTTATTCGAATGAAACTACCGAACAACCAGACCTCCCCTGTGTGAAGTGTGTCCTCAATTACCCGTTGCAACATTGTTGCGAACG